CCGTCTCGTTGGGCTCATGATTTTTAGATGCACTCTGTTATCCAATTATTTATTCATACTCATCGCAAACGGTATGGTGTGGTGAAAAAAATGACTCTTTAAGCCATGAAAGTTGATAAAGAGGAGCTTACACACGCACAGAAATTTCTTGTCTAGGGGTGCTCTTTAGAAAAGAAAGAAACCGAGGCATGGAACAAGTGAAAAGTGCTTCGCGTAGTGTCTGTGCTTAAGTGCCCGGGCGAACGCGACTTCCACGAAGATTCACGATGAAACATTCTTTTCAGGGGAGTCTTTACGTATTTAAAAACAAAAAATTCAGAAGGGCTGGTTTTTAGATGAAAAAAGCTGTTTTGAAATTCTCTGGCAATTTAATAGAATTCAACATTTTCACGCAGGAAGACGAATTCCGCATATTTTCCTGAATTTTCATGGAATAATTGAATTAAAATTTAACATTTTCATTGATTTTTCCATCAAATTTCGAATTCCCGATGACGAAATTCCTTGAAATTCCAGTAGAACTATCACAAGATAAAATTTCCATAAAGTTTACCGGAAACTTAAGCCGAAGATGTTCAACACAGCAAAAACGAATGTCTGAATTTCACACACATGAAAATTGGTTTGAATTTCAAACATGAATTCCGATACGTTTTCATTATATTTAGACGTTTTTTAGTGTCTGAAAAATATCCACAAAAGGTGTGTGAAATTAAGACATTCTTTTTTATAGTGAATAAAGTATCATCATCCACTAATCTACCTTAAATAAAAATATCAACCAAACCCTCAAACAATAGACAAAGACTATACCAAATCATCACATCCCTAATTTATTGACTCAACTCCTGCCGCAATATATTCCCATAAACGCCGTCGATTCGCAAATTCCACTCTCTCGCTATTTCCATCCAATCCCATATTTATTCTCCATTCAAAGCCTCCTCTAACCCTCTCACGTTAAAAAAATTGTTTGATCAAAAGGGATAGACTGAAAACCCCAACAAAACGCGGCGAAAAAAAAAATTCGAGTTTATTCTCCCGGAATATTAGCTATTGATTGAAATCGAATGCTGTAATAAACTAAAATTCCCCAGTGGAAGGCAATGGTGCGCGGAGAACACTGAGGGATTGAAAAAAAAAGCAGGTATTCGATAAAAATCATATCCCATGCAATCTCCCGAATACCGCTGGAAAAAAATCAACAAAAATATAGGCAATATGTTTCAAGCAGATAAGGTCGATGTGCAGAGAACGAGAGGAACTCGTGTTGTTGGACGTGGGTAGGTTGCGTGACAGTGCGAAACTTCTCTGGTTTCTCCTGAAAAACTATTATATACCAATCACACGAGAGAAAGAAGCCGCGTGAACACTTCTGGGTGCTGTGAAACGCCCGTGAGGCCTTCTGTGATGTTCTCTCCACTAAAGATTGACGATAACGCGTCAAATTATCGCTAATAGCTGTAAACGCTCGTAAAGACGCCCAAAGGGAAACCAATACTCCCGGGTAATATCATGTGCAACGTCAAAAGACTAGAATCTTTATAAACCCAGAAACAAATAAACTCCTGAGTATATCCGAAAAAAAATTACTTTTGATCAGTAGAAAAAGTACTTGTACCCAGTGCCAAGGGGCTTCTGGGGAAAAGGCACATTTTTGTACTTCCTCGAAGTTACAAAACAACTTGATGCAAGTATCATGCGTCAAGTACCTGGGTACTGGTGAGAAGTACCTCAGTACTTGTCACAAGTACTTTTGTTACTTGGGACAAGTAAAAAAATTACTTGTACTGAGTACCTGGCCGGTTCTTTTCAAAAGTACCAAATAAACTCAATATAAGTTGAGTATAAGAACACAAAAATGTTTTTTTACCGTTTCTAAAAACCGAATTTCGTCAAAAATTCAAAAATCCAAATAATTCCCTCAATAATAATAATGCTTTATTTCCAACCGCATGGCATGACACCTTTTACAGTATATTATCTAACAGTATTTTTTCCTCGCCGAACACACGCAATAATTCCCTTTTTGTGAGTAATAAAATTGAAAAGAAATTGAAAATAATTTTTCGAAGCCTTTTCAATGTTGATAGCAACATAAAACATAAAAATTTCAACAAAATTGAAATTTTGTGGGTTTGAAAGCATACCAATAATTCTCGAAATCATCCATAAAAATTGCAATCTATTGATTTTTTCCTACAAAATATCTTCTGCTGAACATTTCTATTTACAAAAATGCGTAAGAAAGCCCATCCTATCCGGTAATAATATTCACTTTTCTCAACAAAGTAATCAATTGGAAGTACTGAAATTAAGTCCTAAAAGTACTTGAGAGAAGTTGAAAACTTACTTTTCACTAGTACCTTTGGTACTTGTGAAAAGCACTAAAAGTACTGGCAGTAAGTAGTGATACAACTTCCTCCCAGTACCACTTCTACTCGATCGGCAGATGTGGTACTCCACCCAAGGACACACAAGGTACTTGGGACGAGTATTTTTAGAACTCCTCAAAAGTGAACTTCCCCCAAGTACCGGTGGGCACTGGTGAGAAGTACTTTTTTCGGTATAAAGAGACACAAAGGAAGATTGGCACAGAGCGCGAAGGGAAGAAGAGCAGCTGATGGAGGTCTGATCGAAGCGGGAAAAATAATGGTCAGAGGGTTGGCGTCTCCTGAGGGAGTTGAAGAAAGGAGACATGTAAAGGTAGTTGCGACCAGAGTCACATCCATCATCTCAAGACACCTTTGTACACGTGTGGAAGGAGAGACGATGAGCTTGGCTCTGTGACAAGGGACAAGCAGCCCATAAGCGATTCGCTGTTACCAACGCCTACCATTGCTGTCATTCCGAAGTCCAGAGGCGTCATATTTCCCAGCGAACGGTCAACGATGCCTGTACAAAGTAGCCCGATCACCCCAAGAATTTGAATACCAATGTTCCAAGTGGGGGATAAAAAGGCATTGAAAATTCCTTTTATCTTATCTCCGAGCGTTTTGCGAGCATTAATATCCGTCGAGTGTGCATCCCACACATAGGGAAGACAGGCGGGCTCATGACACTAGCTTTTAATACAAGGTAGAAAGAAGAAGCGCGCTGATCCACCTACCGAGCGCGTGCTCTATGGCGCTACAATCCTTTTCCTCTCCCTCCGATGAAGTATCCTCTCGTGCAAGAATTTACCGGAACAATAACCGGGCGGCCGTTACTTACATGCTGGCCAACGTAATTTATATTCAAATGAGAACGCCAAGCCATATCCGGGCTTGGTGTATGCCTTATATATTCCCTTGCCTGTAGGGCTCCTCTATATGTAATATGCCTCGTGTTGAAAGAGGGCAGAGGACGAGCTGAGCAATGGCCGCCGATGGCTGGATTATCAAATCATAGAATAATTAACTGGGTGTACGAATCTACTTAGCCTGGATGATAATGTTTAAACGTATGGGAAATTTATATTTTCGCTGGGGTTTTTCATCTTTATTTCTTATTCTTTATTCTTCCTTTCTATTTGTATTCTCAATTTTTATGCTGTTGATCTTATTTTAATTAATATGGAAAATTAACGAACGCTGTTAATCAACAGTTTTTTCGGTCGGCCACTGGGGAATTTTTATCATAGCTGCACTGCTAGAAAATTACTCTTGACGTTTCACGTGAAGAAGATTGAAATTTTTAACAACGACAAAGTTATAAATTTCTGTATATTTCTTCATTGACGAATCAGTTAATTTATTGAATATTCAAGTAATTCTCGATTTTTAGGTCCAGTCGTCACTGAAAAACCTCTAAAATTTTGAAAATTCAGGCAGCAACTTTTTTGAATTCTCAATCTATTGAAAATTAAATTGTATGTACTTCAATTTTCACGCTGACTTTGGAAATTGAAACATTCATTGGAAAATCAATGATTATTTAACATTAAAAATCCATTTTTTGAATTTTCAAAATGAATAACAAATTTAGTTTGGCTTTCATTTGAAATTGAATTCAACCTCACAGCATTGAAAATTCAGATGCCATTGTGACTGAGATTTCAAGAAATTTCCAACAGTGTAGTTACTTTCCTAAAATAATTTTTTATTTTGCGATTAATGAGAATTTAAGGTTATTAATTGCGGCAAGGACTTCCGTCGAACCTTCCTCATAACTCAGTCTCCCTCAAGACTCCAATAATGATCCTCTTTACCCATTTGTCATAGAGAAATGTCCGAAAAAGTCACTCGAAAATGAGGTAAGCTCTTTCCAAAAGTATATCCCCTCTGGGTCATCGTCGGGGGTAAAAATTCCCGTCAAATGATCTCTCCCATGATCATGTTCTCAGCATGAAAAAAAGGACTTTCCCCCCCATTTCTCCACAACCCAACAACACCAGTTGTCTTTATAAATATTTTTGGACACGAATAAAGCACTCCTCAGACTTTCCGAGTCATTATTACGACGTTTATTGGCTATGACAGTGAAACCCATACGAAATGCCTTTACGACGAGAGATCTGCCCATGTACTTTTCAGTAAAAGTCTCAACTCCTCCCTCTTCCTGAGCTATATTCCAGCGATAGTATTTCTCAGTACGCGAATCAGCAGGGAGCCTCCTCTCTCGGAATAGCTTTTAACGCCTGTAGGGGGTGCAACGAAGTGTTCTCACTACTCACAAGGATTTATCTAGAAATAGATGGCCATTGTCACTTACGCGTCTCGCAAAAAGACGAGTCAAATATTTTCAGAAAACCTGTTATTCATTATTGTGAATGCCCCCCAGCGTCCAAGTTTCATTCCACTCGTGCTCCTGAATCCCCAGCATCTCCGACTTATTATTGTTGTTCTAATTGTAATAGTGTGGCTCGAGGGCGAGATGCAGTAAGTTGCAGTAATGATATACAGCGAGCACTTGAAAAAATACGCAACAAAAATTGTTGAGTCTTGTCGGGAGTGGAGAATAATCGACGGCCTCCGGGGAATATGTATCAAATCAAACTCTCCAAATGCTCTATTTTGCAGCGATGGTTTATCTCGTGTTTTCCGAGCACCACAGGCCACTCTCAGCCCAGACAAGATCTTTGTCCATGAAAGCACCGGATATTGGTGACGATCCACTTCCGAATCCTTGAATCTGGCGGTCACGAAGACGCCACTTAGTTTTCCCTCCACCTTTCACAAAGTTCGCGGGACATCAATGTCGAAGCATTTCCTTCCGTCAATGTCAAACTTTCATGACTCTTATTTTTCATGTTTCCTCCTCCTCCTCCTCCCCCCCCCCACACCCTTTCATTCTTCACTTTTTACTCCCTTTATCTTCGGCGAGCCAACTTACACTCGGTGACGGTGAAAACGGCGACTGGAAAGTTTCTGGTAGGCACATACTACCACACTTGCAACAGCGGAAGTTCTTGAACGCTCACGACGATATGTCAATGACTGACAAATATTCAGACAGGGTGACTCGAGGCTCTCGGATATATTGCATTCCCCAAATTCCCTCTTCTCGATTACAGATAAATCCTGCTGGATTCTCCATCACTGGAAAAACAATTTTTATTCGCGACTCAAATTAAGATATTAAGACAGGTATTTTAGGGGAGCGTTTATTTCTTCGAATACTTCATTCATTTTTCACTGATTTTCAAGGGAGTTAATGACACGAGGGTAAAATAATTTTTGGAATAAAAAATACTGGTGAAAAGTGTTATTTTATTTTTATTTATTTGTTCGATGTAGACACTCGGGTTTTTACATTTTTTGGTCTGCGCATCGACCCGTGCATTTGCGCATGCCCATGGGTTACGCACGGGATTATACAGATGTGTAGGGTTCCACATTACAGTGTGAAACCCGGCACTTTCTGTGCGTCGACACTCAACTGAAACCGACCGGATTTCACGCACGTATGGTATAAACACAATTCTGAGATTTGATGTAGACAAAGGGTTTCCGTCTCCCCTTAATGTCTTAAATTAACCCGTCTCGAAGCCACTCATCTTCCCAGTTCTCCGTGCCACCTCAACCCTAAACTCTATTTCCATTTTATCGAACCGCATAACCATTATTTTCAAAAAAAAATCGTAGGGTTTTTCCATCGACGTAAATTATCGACGCGTGCCACGTGTGGTGCCACTGGGCGATAGGCACTCGGCATTGTCTCTGTCATCCCGACCTGCCCATCAGCCCCCCACGGTGTACCCAATTTGTGGCGGGCCGATGCGATCGGTCCCTAAAAGCCGTTTAGCCCCCGGGAAAGTCATCCCGAGGTCTCGTCATTCTACTGCATGCGGAGATTTTTTTTTTCGCGTTTGATAGCTGATGTGGTCGCGTGTGTCTGCAGGGGGATCTCTTCAACTATCTACTGTGTAGGCTAATCATATTTCGTCGCTTATCAGACGCACAGGCGTGTGCGTGTCGCATATACTTTCTGCGCCGCCTTTATAAATACAAGGGGGAGCCAATGAAAATTTATGGATTTTCTTGTAGCGTGCGTTTTTCCATTTTTTTTTCATTCTGTTTCTTACAACAGTTCCCGTCATTACATGAGTGTTGAGGGAGAGCGCTTGCAAGACTCTTCATTTTTATAGCATTTTAAAATGTTTAATGTTTTTGTTGAATAGTTTTTTTGTAAAGTAGTGGAATGAGTTGATGTAGGGTAATTTAGTAAATTGACGAAATGTGTCGCTTGTGATTCGACGAATTACTTCTCAACCCCTGGCACGACCGGTCAGTCAATTATTTCTCTTATTTTGTCATTCGAAACTTTGAGTAGTTGTCTTGCTTAACATTGCTGCAAAGATAAAATTATACATTGTGACTTGGAAATAATATTTATATATTAAAATCTCGTAGTTTGGTGTGAAAGAAAATAATCGATTTAGATAACTGAAATAAATTGAATATTTGAAGATAACCAATTTATAGTTTCCATGGCGCTGCTTATTGTTCATTGAATAAAATCTCAATTAAAATACAGTATTCTCTGCTAGGAGTAATTTTCAGATAAATTACCGTTTTGGGAATCAAAAATAGGGAATGTTTTTCGTCTTAATACAATTAAATTAACTGGATATAAAATCCATTACGATTTGAGGGAATATCGTCAGTGCACTGATAGAACGGATTAGTTATTGTTAACGAATGGGTTTGGTTGGAGGTTCGGGTCTATTCGGTCCCACGAAATGTTCATTCGTTAATAGTTAACGAATGTATATTTGAGGAGCCTTGTTTGACTTGACTTTCGCCATTCAAGTGAACCATTCGTTAACTATTAACGAATATTCATTTGGTCATATTCAACTCTACCATTCGTTAATAGTTAACGAATCTCGTTTGGAATAAATGAATCATTCTATCAGTGTGCCATAGACTAAACTAATGTTTTTATTGCGCATGAGACCACCAGTTCCGTCACTCATAACAGCGGAGATAAAAATAATGAAGAACGTACCTAAACACCACAAGTTCCCCAATTATCGACTCCAAAAAAAGAATTGCACGTGTACCCATCGGTTCTCGACGTCCGGCAATAAAAACTCCGTAAAGACGAGCTGTAAAAACATATAACGCAAAGACTAAAGCACGAGGGGTCGTTAATGGCACTGGTGATCGTTAAGAAATTAAGGAATTAAGGATTTTCAGTGGCGCGTCGTGGAGTTACGCAAAAGACGATGGCCGCTTTACGAAGGTAAACGAGGAAAAGAACGGCTTCACCGATGGGGCAAAAAAAAGCCATCGCCAAGATAGTAGTGGAGTGAAAAAGGACTAGCCACCTTATCGACGCTCGTTTGTCTCAACGGGTAGAAAATTCACCCCTCCATTTTTTACGTTCTCACGAGCGCCTACGAGACGCGCAAGAACCGCACTCTTCCGAGACTCAGTGGAAAACAAGTGGCGGGGAGAAGAAAATGGGGAAATAAAGTCGTCGCCATTAGCCGAGTGCACAGCGAGGCTGAAAGTTTCATCCGTCAGGGAGGATGTGGAACTGAGATGAAGATGAGACTGAAATATTTGCACATTAGCAAATTTTCACATGCAGTTGTCGGCGTTTTGGGATAACAATTTATTGTGGGAGCACCTGGAGAGATAATAATAGTAAGGAAATATTTTTGGAATTTTCCAGTTCATTTCAACAATTGTTTTGGTGGAGATTAATCAACTCATCTATTTATTTGAAATGAATCATCAATTATTCACTTCTTGGAGATTTTTGGAGAATTTCAAGGAATTTTGTCATTGAAAGTTAGAAATTTAATGGAAAAATTAAGGAAAACGGTCAATTATTCCATGGAATTCAGCGTAATTTAACATTGAAGATTCATTAAATTTCGTTAAATCTTCAGGGAATTTGGAAACGCCATGAATTCCTCATAAATTAAATGCAATGTCACTCTCCTGAAAATAACTATGAAATTTCAATTGAAAAAAAAATTGAAACAATTAAAAAGCCATTAATTTCAAAAAATATATTGATTCAAATGCACAAAAATTGTGACATCCTGTTCACTTGATGTGAATAAAACTACAAATGAAATTCAAATTCGAATAAAACCTTCAGCTCCGCAAATTAAGAGTAATGCTCCGCCCATCGCGTCAAAAAAAAATCCCCAATAAGACAAGATGATGATCCGCTAGTTTACACGGCGTCATCCCGTCCCGCAATCCCGTTTAAATGCATGCGTCGCACCATTGGCACTGAAAATTGGCCAATTACCTCGGTTGCTCGAATGCTCGGCACATTCTCCAAAACGCACAGCCCATTAATACGTATTACAAGTGCCATCCCGTTGATTCCATCCTTACACATCCAAACGTGTTAAACCGCTCTTCATTCCAAGTAAAAAAGTGTCCTGGTGTCGGCTAATTGGCGCCCAATTGCAATCATTAAAATAATTTCTGTTGTCACGTGTCGCGAGTGATTACCAGCATTGTGTTGTTAACCATCGGGTACCGGAACTAAGTGGTAACCAAGGCGTAACCGATCGCCTGTACTCTACGCTGAGAGAAAAACGACAAAGTTCTCGAACAAGTATTACTTGTGCCAAGAAAATCGTTTTTTTAAATTATCAAAGAAGGATTTTTTCCTGCCAAACATGCAGAGAGTGCGCCGGAGTGAAAAATTTTTGTCGCAAAAATAGATTTAGTAGTTAAAAAAAAATTGCATTCTCTGTACACGCAAGAATTGTCATTTCTAGCACTCACCGAATACGGAATCGACTCGGAAAATTTAAGTGATGGTATCGTAATTTTTCACAGGACATTCAGATAAAAATTACGGAACGCTCTGAAAAAATTTCGTGATAGTTCCGTACAATTTTTCGGAAAAGATACGTAATTTTTACTGAATATTTCTCTCCGTGTAGGTATTAAGGAGAAAGGACCCTTTTTTTCTTTTACCACTTTTTATTCGACAGCATTAAATTATTTACAGTATTTTACATAAAAAAACAGGTGTCACATCCAAAAATTAACGTATTACATATTAATTTTTGGTAAATCCATAACAGTATTTTAGAGTTATTTCCGGAATTCTAAAGCATTAATGATTTTTATTATTTACGATCTATAAAAAAGTTGAAAAAAATTAATAAAATAGTTGTTATTAATTACAAAAAAAAATTATTATATGAATTTAATCCTCTGGGTGTAAATTAACAGCAGATGAGATATTAATTGTTGATCATTTAAATTTAAATACATGTTTAATACTTGTGGAATCTCTCAGCTCTCTTTCATTACACAATAGTTTGAACTTAAATAGAAAAATATTGAGGGTGGACGGAAATTGTTCGTATGTACCCGAGCGAGGAGCCCTTCGGGTGAACTTGCTGGGTTTCTGACCAACCCCTCGTCCTATCCCTTGGGTACCAGAGAAATGCACCACTAATGGCCGAACCGTGTTACATTAGAGGGATTAATGCACTCGTCCCACATGCGTATATATCGATTATTGGAGAACCAGTTGAAGATCATCCAGATATCCATGATTTATTTAATACGATTTTAATAGACTTTAATGCGATATAATCTCCCTGATGACGATGGCAAAGAAACTCCAGCGCACATTCTCCTCGCAAATAATTATCACCAGCGAGAGGAAGATTTTTACAACTTTGTCGAAAGTACCCCA